TTATCTGAATTATAATATAAGTATTATTTATTTTATACTGCTTTACACTTTTGAACAATTATTGGAGTAATTTTCAACAGGTTACGAATGGTCAATGAAGAAACATCGGTACAGCAAATGCCACGTCGCCGAAGTAATTCCTTGCCCATTCCAAAAATCGAAGTATCCATTTACCAAAGTCCTGAAAGCAAAAAGAAGGAGGTACCCAAGAGCTTTATAGAAATACCGGAAGCAAGAGACGTCTCTGTAGTATCCAGCACAGACAATGGTATACAACGTTACGAATTAACAGTAATATTCCTTTTTATAATTGCAATTATTGTAATCGTTTCTGCGTCAGGTCACGATACTGACACGAGTCATCATACGAGACGGGCCAGCGAGAAGTCGAAGAAGAGAATGAAAATGGCTGATCTTAAAGCGTTCGTCGAGACGAAATTGTTATCGAAATCCGAAAAGGCGCTTGAGAAAATTGGTCAAGACGAGCCGAAAATGTTATTCGATCAGGTAAACAATTTTCATCTCCGTTAAAATTGCAAAAGGTGTGAAATATTAATTGCAATGAAATCTTTTCATTAGGAGAGTCACAGGAGTCTAGACACGGGAGACGATCGTTTAAGAGAGCGGCGTACTTCGACGAGTTCAAAAATATTCGACGCGAAAGATATCGATTACATGAAGCATCCGACGAATTTAATCAAAGGAAAAAGCATGCCGAGTTTAAGGTACGTAAAACTGCATGTGTACAATAAACGTATTATATTCCAATAAAGATTCTTCTCTTCGACTATGATTTCATTTCGTTCGTACTCACACACACACGTGCTAATACATTGATTCGTCAATCCTTAATTGACTTTACTTTTCTATTTGATAATAACGACGATATTGACGAAACTTGTGTGGGTGTGTATGGATTCTTACTTAAATTTCAAATGATTCAAACATCTGAATTAATATATAAATATTGTTTAATACAAAATAAATAGTAACGCTTAAATTGTATGCTGTCAGATAAAGTATTTAGGCAGATGATTTTAATCTTTGGACGTAGATTGTAATCAGTGTTGGGTAGCATACACTGATTA